CACACACACAAAGTAATATGCAAATACTTTTATTAATTCACTTTAAAGTAATACACGTAGTATGACTCCAAGTGGAGAACTGATCTTGGTGTTTGAGAGACACCTCTATTTATACTAAAGTGTACGTGAGGAGAAAGTGTGTCACATTGAGTCAGGATTTAATCACTATTAAGACTGGGAGTTTACTATTTAATTTTTTCTATAACATTTTAGTGCATTATTTTAACATTAAATATTGAATAAAATTTCCTTAAAAAACAAGGTGTTTACCTTTAGGTTTTTCATATAACATTTTAATGCTTTTATAAATTGTAATGCTAAAAACAAAAACTACTACAATATGTTTTATTAGTGGTTAAGCCTTGGCTTCAATATAAAATTATTTAATGTTGAAATATTAGTGTATATAAGCATTTGTTTATTATAGGGAAAGTTTTCAATAATTTAGCTTATGTAATAATTAAGTTTTTAATTATTTAAATAAAAACAAAACTTATTTAATAGTTAAATATTTTGCTGATTTGACCCACTATTGCAATATATATATATATTTGGTTCAGATATTTATTTTTTGCCTAAAAATATATTTATACAGTTTATATTTAAATTTATATATTGTATATTTTTTTGATAAAAATAAAATTTTCAATAATAGAGAGAGAGAGAGAGAGAGAGAGAGAGAGAGAGAGATAACAAAAAAATATAACAAAATTTTTTCACGTATTTATATATATTTATTTTTTGTATGAATTATTATGATTTTGACGATAGTGTCAGTGAGTGGGTGAGTGTCTGTGTGTGTGTGTGTAAAATGTCAGATATTTTGGCATAAAAATCAATAATAATTTTATTATTATTATTATAAATGTCTGATGTATTTAAACACTGATTTGACAAATAATAAATAATTAATTTTTTTTGAACGATAACGTCAACAACGATAAAAAAAATTTTGTTAAAAAAAATATTTGATAAATATTTTTGTAAACTTTTTTTATAATCACATCTACTGTATGTATAAATTGATATTCAATATTAATAATAATAATATTTATCTATTTAATAAATTGCTAAATATATATCCAAAAAATTATTAGCATTTTTTATTATTGCAAATATAAATTTAATTAATTATACTCTACTTTAAATAATAATAATAATAATAATATGTTTTTACAGTATATCATAGTTATTGGTATTGCATTCAATTAGTTTATAATTAAATAAATAAATCAATCATTAAATTAGTTTCCTAAATTAGACATAACGTAATAATATATTATTATTATTATTAATATTTTATCAATATATATATATATATATATATAAATTATATTAAATTACTTAAATATATATATCTTATTAAATGATGTCCAATGATTTATTATTAGATTAAACTTGTTTTTTATTAATGCAAATAAAATCAGTGGATTTTTTTTGTCGCTAATTTACATAACATTAATATAATAATGTGTTTATATAGAAAATATTGTATATTTATATATATTAGTAGAAACTATTGATTATACTCTATATATATATATTAAATAAATTGAAGTCTTAATGCAATTACTTAAAGTGAAAGTACAGTATAACAACAGTGAATGTCCTGATCATAAGCACCGATAGTCTAGCCATTTGAATGACTATCATATAGTTGCACAATAACTACAGGAGCTCACAGACACACACACACACACTGGCATATCATACCATATATATATATATAACCCAATATATATATATTGATATATTTGGATGCATTTAAAGGCATACATTTAAAAGGCCTCCAATTGAAAGGTCTCTCTCTTTCTCTCTCTCTCTCTCTCTCTTTGATGATAATGTTGTAGATGTTTGTGTCGTTGTTGTTGATGTTGATGATGATAATGATGTCAATCTTATGTTGTTGTTGTTGTATATCAATAGCAATGATATTATTATTTTTTTGTTGTGGATTTGATGTCTTATTTTTTTTGTTACTATTTTTTGATAGGATAGCCAAATATAGTATACAATTGATAACTACAACAACAATATATATAAATATTATTTTAATTAAAAACTAATAAAATTAACAAAATATTATTATTATTATTATTATCTATTTTTTATCAAATAAATTATTTTCACGCACATAAATAATTGATATATTTTTATTTTAAAAAAATAATTATTTATTATTATTATTACTGTCTGTTTGTATAATTTGTATTATTATTATTATTAAGCAATCAATTTATTTTTAATGCAATATCTATTTTCAATCATATAATATACTGTAGTTATTAAGTTATTATACATAAAAATTTATATCATAAGCATATTAATTATTTTTGTTGTGTGTGTATGTTTAAGACATAGTTATTATTATAATTTTTATACTTAACTAATCAATGTATGTTTACTTAACATATTAATACCAGTGTGTATATCAATATACAGTATATCTTTAGCTGTAAAACTAATTAAAAAAAACTTTATATAATTATTTTCACTATATATTTAATTAATTTTCAGTTTAGTTTTCTTTTAAATACAATTTTTATTTTAATAAAACTTTATTATTATGTAAATTTTTTTTCATGCGTTGATAAATACTGTATATATTTATACGGAATACATACAACATTATACAGTATATAGAAATAATGTTATTTTTGTTGAGCACTGGTATGGTATATGTCTCATCCTAACTGTGCGCTTAAAGATGCCAAACTTCTAGTGTGTATGTGTATGCATGTGTGTATGTGTGTGTGTGTGTGTGTGTGTGTGTGTGTGTGTGTGTGTGTGTGTGTGATAAACCAAACAACTAACACACAAAAAAAACAATGCATTTTTGAATACTTATTACATATTATTTGCATTTTGCATGACTTTCCTATCATTATATCATATATCATATGCTGGTATTGTTGTTGTCGGTGTTATATTATTGTATATATATATATATGTTATGTGTATGACTTGAATATGCAAGTTATTGTATTATATTGTTGTTGTCGAAAATAAGACAATAACTAGCATTAAAATGCAATATAAAACATATAACATATATATATATATAAAATATATATTTTGTTGTATTGTAGTAAAAGTTTTAAAAATGTGATAAAAATATGTTATCTCTCTCTCTCTCTCTCTCTCTCTCTCTTTCTTTCTATTGCTATCTATCTATATATTTATCTAAAACTCTTTACAAACTAATTTTTATATTACTAAACATCAAAAAATCTAAAACAATACTACAACTACTACTACTAAAACATTAAATTGTTATTACTATACATTTATATGTTGTTTTTAGACAACAAAAACAACAAAAAGTTTAACTAAAATGTAGTTTTCCTTTAAAAATTTTTTTTTTAGAAAATCTATATATATTTTCATATATATATATACAGTATATTGTATGATATATTCTGTATATTATTATCTAATGTATAGATATTCATTAATAACATGTAATTTTCACAAACATTTATAGTATTAAATTTTAGTATAACTACTGTTACCAATGTGTTAACATTAATACACATACACACACACACACACACATCAAACATATACAGTATAATAACTACATGAGCTGTCTATTAAAACAACTTTATTTAACAGTTAATGGCTATGTTTTTACATAATTTAGTTGTTATACTGTATAGTATTAGTAATAATATTAATAATAATAATACTGAAAAATCATCTAACATTTACATTAATAATAATAATAATAATAATAACATTAATGATAAATATGTAATAATTTTACAGAATATTCTTTATATATGTTTATCTCAAACATACAGTTAGATATAAATATTCAGTTATTATAGTTTTAGTTTAAAAACATATTTTTGTTGTTATTATTATAGTGTTATAAAACTTATAGTTAAAGTATAGTAAATTTATTTATGCAGATAATGATAATGTTTACAAAATAATACTTGAATTTTAGACAATAAGTATTTTTATTTATTTTATTTTTCTAAATATCTAAACCAAACACATTTATAATACAGTATAAACTTACTGTAAATATATATATATATATATATATATATATATATATATATATATATATATATATATATATATATATATATATATATATATATATATATATATATATATATWTATATATATATATATATATAAATTTGAAATAAATACAAATATAATAATTAGTTTTATTATTATACAATAAATTAGCTAGCTATTATCTATTTTATTACATTACACTATTAGTAGTAGTAATAATAATACAGTATTGTAGAAATAAATGATAAATTGGTATAAATTGACTATTTTGTAATCATTTGATTTATTGTATCAAATTTTTTTTTGGTGCTCCCAATCCTCATAATCTCTCTCTCTCTCTCTCTCTCTCTCTCTTTCTCAATATATATATAAATACTTACACTATATATTTATGTGTGGTCTATATGTCTAATCAATTGTTAAACATAATTGTTTATAACAACTATCAATATATATATATATATATATATCCTAAACAACTACTATAACTAACAAAATCCTATATAGATATATTAACACAACATTTAATACTGTATATAACTAACTAACTAACATATACTGTACAATATCTATATATCATATAAATATATATATATATATAATATCGTAAATCATCAAAAAATATGTGTACAAAAATATAATTACTGTTTCCCTCTCTTTTAAATGTTTGCTAACTATCTATCTATCTATCTAAATGTGCTGTTTATAATTGTTACTTATATACATATATATATATATATATATATATATATATATATTGATGGCCTATAATATTAATAGTATACAATAGTATTGAATTATCATTTTGAATGCCATGTTTTTTTTTAAAAATATTATATATAATTATAAGTCTATGTCAATATTTATTTATTTATTATTTTTAAATATTTTTATATGTATCTATCTATCTATATGTTGGTGTCCATGTGTTTATATATATATATGTGTGTTGTTTAAATAATTAGATGGACCGGCTATTGTACGTGTAAACGTCTACATCAGGAGTATATCACGTATTGATGATGTTACCATGGTAAGTGCTCAGCTTGTCCTATTGTGTGCAACCAACCTACCCATCCCCTGCCTGCCTGCCTGCCCACCCGCCCCCTCTATATATATATCCTACTAGTGCAACAAACTCAATAAAATGTCCATGTTCACAAAAAATAATTATGATTTTAATTATATATTAGTTTTTTTTCATCATTTTTATATTGTATTTTATTTTTGTGTTTTTGTTTATTATTATTTAATATTTTTATTTTTTTTACATAACTTTATTAATTTTGAATTTAGTATATATATTGTTTATAATATTGGTTTCTAAATATAAATTATATATTAATAGTAAATAGATTTTATAATAATATTACAATAACAATAATGAATTTTATCTAAAATAATATAGTTTTTTACTAATTAAATACAGTATAAATTTATATATAAAAATTAATATATATATATTTTTGTCTATCTAAAAAATTATATATATATTATTAATTGAATATTTCAATTATTTTTATATATAGATTTATTTTGTTTAGTATTATTATTTTTTTTGTGTTCAACGATAAAAATATTCAATTATCGACAAACAATTGATTTTAATGTTTACTTAAAATATTTGTATACACTATATATATACGGTTTAAATAGATTAATAAAGAAAAAATAGTTTATATATATATACACTATATTTATTAAAAAAAAACTTTTTTTTTCTTATACTTCTATTATTAATACTATTTTATCTTATATTCCGGTGACTGAGTCTATTGTTTGGTATGTTTTTTTGTCTATTACTCAACACAAACACATATACAGTATAATACATTTTATATATACTGTATATATATATATAATATTAATAGTGATGTACATAAATAAATTGTAATGTGTATTAGTTAGTAGTGTGCGCTATAAGTATTTCAATAAATATTATTATTATTATTATTTATGAATATTTTATATATGCACAATGTATTTGTGCACTTTTAGACAGTAGTTATTGATTATATATACATACATACATACATACATACATACACACACACATACATACATACATACATACACACACATACATACATACACACACACACACACACACACACACACACACACACACATACACATACATACAATCTATGCACAACAATATGCAATTATTTTTATTATATATTTATAGAAATAATATAATAATAATAGAATCACAGAATTCAATTTATCCATAATATATAAAGAATATTCTATTAGTTTATTAATAATTCAATTATATATATATATATATATATTATGTTAATATATAATGATAGAAAATTTTTAGTAGGTGTATTATTATTATTATAAGTCTCAGTTTGATTTTTTATTGATTTATTAGTAAATATAAAAAACAAACAGTTTTAGACTATATTATTGTATAAATTAAAATTAATATAAAAAAAATTTTGATTGAATAGATTGAAAATAATATTTAAATAAAATTTAATATATTTGCAAATTTCATCTGGAACAATTTTTTACTATTGGAATTCGATTCTGAATATTATAAAATATTTAAATTTTATATGAATTTTGTATATATATATATTAATAGTATTTTACAACTTATATGTTATACTACTTATGTTATATAAGTTATTTATGAAAATTTATATACTATTTATTATATATGGTATTATTAATAATAATAATAATAATAATAATAATACTGTATTATATTAAATAATAAATCTTTTTTAATATTTATTAGCTATTTTTTGTGTATAATATTATATATATATATGTATATACAATGTATATTAAATATATATATTATGCATTTTATTATTTTATTCACATATATATATCATACATAAAATAAGAAAATAATAATATCTTTTAATAAATTAATATTAAATTATATAATAATATTGTGTGTTTGTAAGGAATTCATTCATAAATTATATAATATAATAAATTTAATTAAATATATTATTAATTTATATATATATATAATACTTACTGGTATTTTCTGCCTAACAAAACATTTAATTTTTATATATTATTAATAATAATATTTATAATCATAAAAAATTACAATTGTATTTAATATATATATTTTTTATAACTACAAAAAAAAATTAATTAAATAATTGTTTAAATATTTCTACAATATTTATAATAATTTTATTAAAAAAATATTTTATTATATTATATTTGTTTTTTTCAAATGTGAAGTTGATTATAATTTTATTGTAATTTTATTTTTTTTTGAATCAAAAAAAAGTTATAAATAAAATTTTTCAATTTAAATATTTTTTTTTTAAATGTAAACAATGTCTAGACATAGATTTATGTGATATTTGATTTTTAATATGATAAACAAATTTAATTTAATACAACTAACGGGTATATATCTCGCCCACTTACTTATCTATCTAACTAAACTAGCTATACAACAAAATAAAAATACTAAATGATCCAGTTCAACTTAATGTATATGTACCGGTATGTCTATGTCTATCCTATTGTATGTATATTTATGTATTATTGTATATTATATTTGTGTGTATAGTTTTTACTGTATTACTGTATGTATATATATACCGGTATATATTTTTCTAAGTGTTTGGTATATGTCTACTACTATTTATATGTGTGTATATGTGTTGTTAAAAAAAATTAATGTTTTTTGTGTGTCTATATGTGTTTTGTGTGTCTATTTAAATAAAAATTAAAAACTAAAATTTTATTAATTATTTTAAACACACACTCACATACACACACATAATTATATACACATACAGTATATATTAGTATATATATAATTAATATATATATATATATATATATATATATACAGTAAATAAGTTGAATATATTTGAAACATACTATACACTCAATTTTTTTTAAAAATATCTCTAAATAGTTTAAATAACTAAAAATAACATTTAGCTTTTTAAAAAATAATTATACTAATAAAATCATAATAAATTATAAGTAAATAAATTTTAAAAAATAAATAAAATATCTATTTATATGGCTGTTATATATTATATATATATATATATATATATTGTATATATATATATATGTATGTATGATTGCCAACTTCTAACAGATGGTCCCTGTATTGTTCGCGTCAACATTTATCTGAGAAGTATTAGCAAAATTAGTGACCTGGATATGGTATGTATTACTACTACTACTACTACTACTACTACTACTATAAAAATAATAAGTAAAATAAATATTGAATTAAAAATATTTTTAAAATATTAATAATAATAGTAAGTAACTAATTAATGGAGGTATAACTAAATATATATAGTATATATTTAATTTAGTATTATATATATATATTTTTGTATTAGTTGTCTAATATATATAATACTAAATTAAATCAAAAATATTTAGACTTTAAATAAATTTATTATTATTTTTGTATAAAACATTTTATAATTAAAAATAATTTATATTTAAATATTAAATATATATTAATGTTTTTTTTACTTATATATTGATTATATGACTTCACATTAATATGTTATTTAATTATGTTAAATATATGTATAATTTTTTATATTATATTATTTTATATATTAACTAACAAATAATATAATATTAGTGTGTAAATTATACTAAATTAAATAGTATAATCATATTTAGTAATTTAATTTATTTTTATTTAATGTCAAACTACTACTACTACTACTACTACTATACGTATAAAATAAAAATAAATAATTAATTAAATTGTTTATTGTTGAAAATTTTTATTGAAAATTTCGTACCTTTTTCAACATTAGTATTCAAATATATATATATATATATATATATATATTGAGATGACTATCGCATAGCGAGCGGAAAGTCAACTCAATATCGGGGAATCGGCGGTAAAAGTAATTAACGTAAATACACGCGTTATATAAAAAACGGTTTTATTTAGTAATTAAAATATATACGACATGTCGGTGTGAGAGCTAAACGACTACTACTGGTGCGGAACCGGTAGAGTAGTTGTTATATCCACGCTTGCAACTGAATTGTAGTGTCGAGCGCCTGCTATCGACACACTCCCCGGCCGCGAGATTCCGGCCATAGGTCGGATGACCAATGAGATGCTTGTGATTCGGCGGGCAGTAATCGATGTCTTGAGCGGTGACGTGATATGTTTTCGGTGAACGGCGAGTTATGATAGCGATGATAGCGTAAGAGATGCGATGAATGAGAAACAAACGTTTTCGTGACATTACCATCTCTTACGTTGAATTGTTTTATGCGGAAGGTTTCGGGACCGATCCGATCAACTATACGGTACCGGCCGTGAATGTAACGATTGTTTCGCGTCGAGTAACTGTTGGGTATACGATACTTAACGCTATCACCGATACGTAAATCAGATGAGCGATGCTTATCGTCGTGTCTGACCTTGCGTATGATAGGCGGTTTACGATATCGTTTAGTAACGTTTTGTCGGCATTGGTGGCATCTCTTAATAAAGTTGGAGATATCGGTTCTCAGCGTTGGCCACCAATGTTTCGATGAAACCAATCGAAAAGTATGTTCAATATCGTGATGATTGGCGTCGTTATGGAACTCTTTTATTACGTTTGCGACCATCGATGGCGGTACAACTAATTTAGTTACGCCACGATATGCTACGTGTATGAGTCCGTCGATTATCTTCGGTTTTCGGATGTTATACGCCTTGATTTCGTGTTGATTGTCGTGAGCTAATGTCAATTGAGTAAACGACGGTCTGATGAGTTTCTTTACTATCTGATCGTCGGTCTCTTTGGTCGTCAGCTTTTCGGTGGGCACAGGTTTCGGCTGTTCAGCTATCGGATTAAGTATTGGTTCGGTTGGCAACGCGGCACCAACGACTGTAATTAAACCCATTGTCGCTTCATTTGCGACTTTAATCGAATAGCTTTCGAAGTTTCGTTGGGTTTTCAAACGTACTTTCGTTTCCATGTCGGCTATGTCGATGCCAACGATAGCATCGTAAGAGATGTCGTCCATTACTTGCATCGACACTCGTTCGGT